TCCATGCTCGTATCAGTTCGTAACTCAAAAATGGTTCACGGAATGGTAGAAATCCTTCCGGTTGTATCCTACCAATACCCCACGCGGTAGTTGATAGTCAGCATGCTCGCGCAAGAGAAGGACCAGAATGGTCTTCGATTCTCTCAATGAAGGGTGACCTGAATATTCACTCTGGTGACAGTGTCAGACGGGCGACTAAACACAGATGACTGTCGCTTCTGAAGGTCTAGACGATGAATGAATGGCGATAGTGGATAGGAGGGCAGATTTAGGCAGAATTAACCCAGGTCAATCAAAATAAATTAAGCTCATTTCGAATCGATTATTTCTCGCTCCCTGTGTGTTGCGAGCAACTTACCAGGTGCTCTGCTCCTTCCTACCCATAGGGGGGAGTCAATCCGAAAATGTTTGATCCATGCATGCATACGACTGGCGTCGGTCAATATACAGCTCACTCATCCAGGAAGTTGGCCTCCCTGAATGACTCGGTAGCAGTAGCAGTGCTTGGATGGAGTTACCTCTTTAAACTCTCTTGATTTTCCACAGGTACTCCGTACATTGCCTTTCATCCTCATGATCGGACTACAGTAAGATCACCACTCAATCTTCCCCCCCTAAGACACAAACGGCAAAGTGGAAAGGGCCAGGGCGCGCGCCATCCTAGGTGGGACCCAAATTAGGAGCCAACGACGACGCTCAGAGGAGGGTAGGCCTCCAGCCAGGGCCTGGAATAGTAATTCATCCATCCTCCAGCGCATTTCCGCTTCTGTTACCCCTGCTGGAGGCCTCGAACACGCGGGTGGCGCGTTATTGGTTCAAAGGAGCCAGGGAGGCGTGCCAGCTTTTTTTTTTTTTTTTTGTCTTCCGTTTTCCCCTGCTGGAAGGGGGGGAGGGTCAGTTTTGCGCTGCCGACGAGGCCGAGGCTCCCATCGACTCCAAAGCGCCTATTGCCCAACTCAGCAATGATAGCTCGGGACCCCGGTCAGATGTTCTCACACGGTCGGAAGTACAGCCTCGACATGGTTTTCTCTTTCTCTTTCTTTCTCTGTCTCTCTTTCTTTATCTCTCTGTGGGTGTATATAAATGTATAAGTTGTGGGTGTGTCTCATCTTGCGGGGTTGAAAAGGGGTCCCAGGAAGTAATGGCGGAGGAAAGAGGCGCGATTCTCAAGAACCCCCCAGTATTTATGTACCCGCCGCGGTATCATTCAAGGTAGAAGATGGCAAGAAGTCAAGAAGTCAAGAAGACAATTAACGTAAACTTAGTTTCTTTGTCTGTCCCGTGATGGTTTAAGAACAATTTAAATTTCTGGTCATTCTCCCTCTCAGTGATAATAATAAATATCCCCCAAACTTACCAGATCCCACTGATCAAAACAAGGCTTGAAAATGATTGATAACTCCATTGCCTATCAATATTAATTTGGCACTATAACTAGAGAGGAGGAATTAAATCTGATAATAATCATAATAATAATAATACTGGAATACTTCAAAGACACTTAAAAATGATATAGTCAGACCAGATTCATTTGATCAGACCAGGCAATCGTAGTCTCCCAAAAAAGTCCTCCTTCTGCAGAGGTACTTTTTTAGTTCCCTCAATAGATTTCCCTCTTGTTCCTTTCTTACCCTTCTCCTGCTCCCTTTGGGGATGGTTTTTTCTCTGCTCGTCCCCTCACCTCACACCTCACCATCTCTTTCTCTCTTTCTCTCTCTCTCTCCTTCTCTCCCTACTTCTCCTCATTTCCTTCCTTCCTTTCTCCTCAAAACTTCCCAACCGAGTCGCTTTCTTCATCTTCTCTGTTTGCCTCACGTTCTCCCCGAGCGGGATAACCCGCCAACCTCAACTCATTCAAGATGAAGGCATAATCACGACGACCATCAACCATTAGTCGACAACCGTCCTTGTTCTACCTCTTCCTCAAGGGACACAACTGGAAACGATAGTTAAAATTCCTCCACCGTCTTCATCACACCTCCTTTTTTACACCTCATCTTCGCGCTTGAATGCATGGTCGACCACCTTTTGCATCACGTTTAACCTTTTTTTTTTTGCCTTTCCCCCCTCGTTTCCTTCGCCGTTCCACTCCCCGACTCTCCTCCCCCCTTGACATGAACCCATTGATCCAGTCGACGAGAGAGAGCTCGTCCGACCGCCTACCACACCAAATCTCCGCCTGGACCCCATCATGGCCCCTCAATCCATCGACACTAATGCTGAGGCGATCTCCCTTTGGAGGAAGCGTTTCGACAAGCGACATCCATCAACGTGAGTCTTTTCTGAGTTCTCTTACTCAATTTTCTTATTCCTTGGATCTTACAATTACCATTCGTTATTGCCCAACCTCCATCTGCATTTGTTTCCCTTCCTCATTTTCTCCCTAGTTGTCTAGACCGCTCGTGGACCCCCTCTCCCCAACTTTTTTCTTTTTTTGTTTCGGGTGATCTACAACCGTCTCCATACCACCCCCCCCCCCTCCCCTATCAATGAGATTGCCCCGTGCTTTCTCTCCATTGCGGAGCACAGCGATCACAACCAACCCCAAACTCCAATCCCCAGATTGATCTCATTCCAAATTAGAAACCCCGTGATTGCCATCCTCGATATCGAGTACAACGAGCTCGTCTTGTCTTGGAAGAAGCTCCAAGAGACTCTCATCCCATCGGATCTTGTCCAATTCCAGGAACGCGCCCAGGGACCTGAGGATGTCTTGAGTCTGGTGAGCAGCATCGAGCCGGTCTGGACGTCTAGCTCGAGGCAGCGAGTGGTCCGTGACCAGTGCACCGAGCTGAGATCCACCCTTCACGCCCACAGCATCCTTTTGAGTGCCCTGCCAAAAAATGAAGCATACTTGTCTCTCTTCTACAGTGTCCTTCAGTCAACGCTCAAGGTAACTCATCTCTACAGTGAAACCCCTTGCATTTCTTGGGGTGGCTGACTTTTTCCCAGGCATCTGCGAACTATCCAAGGATCATGGAAGGATATATCAAATCACTCGTCATGATCAATCGGTCCTCTTGCCTGGCCATCACAACAGATCTATCATCCTGCTCAAAAGACACAATTCACTCGATCGCGCATTTTTACACTCTATTCTTCTTCTTCCTAGGCGAATTCATGGACTGGTTTGTGCGCCAATCCAAATGTCGACTGCTTAAGAGTCCCAACCACAACGTGTATCACACATTCCGAGATCTTGTCGGCCACCTGCGGCACAGCGCCAAAATAATAATGGGGGGAATCGCTGATATAATGGACGTCGATGAGTATGACAATGATGCTGAGGATATTACCGACACGACCTGCAACAGGGAGTTATGTCTGTTCGAACAAGCCCGGTTGGACCAGATTGGTTTACAGCGGAGGGATCGCCGCCACAAAGCGGAGAACGCTTTTATTCGTCATCTGGTCTGGGAAATTGCGCAGGATGCGGTAAAGCGCGCAAGGCTTTTGAGGGAGAGAGACGCCTTGCTTGCGCATCTGCTCGATACCGTGGGCCACCAGATCCGTCCGGTGAGCCAGCAAAATACTGGCATTGCTTGCTTAACGACAACAGCTTCTAGGGACATAGGTAGGGTAACGAAGGTGTACATGAAGAATCAAACAGCTTGGTATGCTGACCATATCACCTTGCAAGACATGGATAGATTTACATCGAGCGAAGGGGGTCAGAAGCACAAGTATACGCGTGCGGAATTACAACTGGCTTCCAGCCACCTAGAAAACTTCTTCGACGCAGACGATCAGACACCCGAGCTTGACCCTGATGTGGAGGTGATCGCAGAAGAGAATGTCATGACATCTTTGCAACAGTGGGCGACCGATACATATTCCCAGGTGCTTGCCGTGGGCGGATCGCCAACCACGGCTTTCCCTAGCCCCGTCCTTCTCATCTCGACGTGCTACGCCAGTCTGGCACGAAATGCCCGCTTACCGGTCATCTCCCACTTCTGTACCCGGCCCACCAACGGAAACGACGAATTGACGTACGAGCAACAGTTGATTGCCCTGGCCTACAGCTTGATCCGGCAGTTGATAGAGTACTTGCCTCCGGTGATCATCAGTCACTCGGGGTGTAACCTGAGTGCAGAACGGTTCAAGCCGTTGAATGGCACGTTGACTTCGTGGAAAGAAGTGCTCTCCTTGATCGATATACTCCTCTATTATGCCCCACCCCTGATGGTGTGTGTGATCCATGGTCTGGATGCTATTCAAGATGCGTCCACTGACCAGTACATCCGCTCTCTGGTCCGCATCCTTCTGACACACACGAGACACCAGACCGCCACCATGGAAGGGGGCGTTGAGACGCAGAGCGTTCTGCTCAAGATACTGTTCACTGTCGCTGGACGACCGAGCTCGCTGGTGGAGACGCTGTCGGAGAGCCAGCTGATACTGCGCGAGTCGAACCAGACGGAGGAGCTGACGATGACCGACTCTGCACTAAGCCCCGACGTTGGGGTCGTCATGATGAATGCATAATACCAAAAGCACATGACCACCACGAAGCGATACTTCCCTTATCTCTCATCTGTCAGGCTGTTCTCTTGTGGCGAAAATCCGGGACATATAGAATTGTGCGCAGGCTGGCATTTTTTGAATATAACCTTACTGGCGAGAGACCATTGCGGGATCTCAACCTTTCGATTTTGCTCTTTTCCATTTTTCCCAACTTTTCTACTCGATTACCTTTCTACCTTTGTCGTTGAACCATGTTAGCCTTATGGCGAAGGAGGTATCACTGATTCTGGTCATTGTCGTGTTGTCCTCTCTACGCAGATGTTCACCCATTGATTGGTATATGTCAGGGTTGAGGCGCAGCTGGCTTTTTACTGGTGGATGTGGGCAGAAGTCTTCCCGGAATTTGAAGGTGTTCGGAGCCTGATTGCTTTGTATAGTTGTAATACACGATTGTGATTTGGGGAAGGGCAACCCCCCATAACTACCTAGGTGGTAACTTTTCAAGTTGTTGAAATCTGCCTCGGGATTAGGTTTCCGCCGTCCACGTGGGGAACTCAGAGCCAACTACTACGAGCTACGAGCATACATAACGACCCTCAGTGCAATCCCGGGGAATATTATCCTCACAGTCTGTGCATTCTGCCTGATTTCCGGGGGCATCGAAGTGAACCCTGGATGGTCCTGATGTTCTGTGTGACTTTCGGGATTTCAGCTCCGCTTCAAGATACAAATACGGCTTGTTTATTGCTGCCCATCGAGTGTTCCTCTGCATCACTTCCCATCTATCACGATTACTACCACACACTCAACAGAACCCTCTCGCTAGAGAATCACAAAAACAAGCCACCACCATGGGCGTGATCAACCCCAACCCCGAGACCCAGACCCAGCCGCAGCGGCCCTCCTTCAACCGGCTCCTCTCGCTCGACTCCCCACCCCCATCCCTGCCGGACTTCCAGCGCCTCTGCGCCCAAACCACCGACGGCGCCCTCTACCCGCACGCGACGACCATCACCAAAAACATCCCCATCTACAGCACGCGCACCCTCAGCCTGACCGATCCCGACGACCTCACCACCGTCCAGAACGAATGGTACCACATCCTCTCCGAAGGCCCCGGGATCTTCGTCCTCCAACACTTCTACGACGTGGAAGACGACCACCACCGCCCGATTCTAACCGCCACCACCGCCGCCTTCAACCGCATCATCGCCCACGAAGCCGCCACTTCCGCCCGAAAAGGCGACCACTTCTCTTCCGGCCACAACGCCCGCATCTGGAACAGCTTCAGCAAGCACGCCTTCGCCGACCCCCCCTCCTTCGTCGCCTACTACTCCAACCCGTGGCTCCGCGCCGTCAGCGAAACCTGGCTCGGCCCGGGCTACCGCCTCACCGCACAGGTCAACATCGTCCGGCCCGGCGGCCAGGCCCAGTCCCCGCACCGCGACTACCACCTCGGCTTCCAGGACGACGGCCACTGCGCCCGCTTTCCGCGGGGCATGCACGCCGCCAGCGCGTTCCTGACGCTGCAGGGCGCCGTCGCCCACTCCGATATGCCGGAGCGCAGCGGGCCGACGCGCTTCCTGCCGTTCAGCCAGCGCTTCGAGGCCGGGTTCTTGGCCTGGAGGCGCCCCGAGTTCCGCGAGTTCTTTGAGCGCGAGTATGTGGCGCTCCCGCTGAGGGAGGGGGATGCCGTGTTCTTTAATCCGGCGGTGATGCATGCGGCCGGCGAGAATTGTTTGGGACCGGAGAGTGGGTTTGAGCGGCGGGCGAATCTTTTGCAGATTGGCTCGGCGTTGGGGAAGACGATGGAGCGCGTGGATGTTGTGCCGGTGGTGGAGGCGGTGTGGGGGGAGGTTCGGAGGCGGTTTGATGGTCATGGTCATGGTCATGGTGAGGCTGACGCCGGGAAGGAGGAGGAGGAGCTGGATGCGAATTGGGAGGCGTTTGTCCGGGCGCTCGGCGAGGGGTATCCGTTCCCCACGAACCTGGATCGTAGGCCGCCGGCGCCGAACGGCATGGCGCCGGAGAGTGAGCAGGACTTGATTCGGAGGGGTCTGTTGGAGGGCTGGGGGACGGAGGAGATGGTCGCTCGGTTGCGCCAGTTGCAGGAGGATGAGAGGGGCCATCAGTCTCTCTGACTGTACCACCGTACAAGCTCTGCGGTAGGGAAAGTGACCATGATCAAGTAGCGAATTATCTACACAGGGACAGGTCCATAAGTAAATATTACTCTTGTTGGTCTAGCTCATTAGAGACAATCATCACTTCGTGAATATTCCCACCATGTTACTCCGCCCACAAGGGTATACCAGAACGCTACGCCAATGCCAACCAATGCAGTCAGTCGTTAAAGTCATATCACCCCTCGTTCCTCGACCCAGATCTATCCTCGCGTTAGTCCCAGTGCTGCACGACCCCACAGAAAAAAAAACGACTTACCTCCATCTTCCCGAGCTCACTCCCCTCCCGTCGTGCCATCTCACGGGCCGAGCTCATCAGCAGATCCAAATCCTCCTGGTCCACCATCGTAATCATATCACCATCATCTTGCATGCGGATCTTGAGCAACGTTCGGAACCCGAATTTGTCCCGGATCCGCCGCTCAAACTCGGCGAAGTCGATCACAGGCTCTATCATGATATACCGCGTATCCTCGTGGGCATGCGTCTTGACCCGGTACTTGCGCACCTCGGGCCGCCGGGCTCGCGAGGTCCCGCGCTGGGATTGTCGCTGCGGCGATCGTCCGTGTCCGTCGACCAGGTCGAAGTCGCCCTCCGCCGAGCCCGACCCACTCACATACTCTTCTTCCTCGTCGATGTATCGTTCCCGTTGCCGAGGCCAGCCGGTCCCCACGGGCATGGACCGCGTGCCCGAGTACCCGCCCTCCGGATACCGACCTGATGTCGATGCAGACCCCGTGTCACTGACCCCTCGTCGATGGCCACGCATCTCCCGACCGCGGGACGACTGTTCCTCCCGAGGGCCGGCGCGAGCCGAAGCAGCTGCTGCCGCTCTCCGGGGCTCGGAGGCCGTGCGAGTCGTTCCGATGCGCGGCTTCTCGCCTAGGACGGTCTCGTGTCCGGTGCTCTGGTTCAAGTCGAGTCGCGGGGGCGGCGCAGCGCGAATGGACCCCGGTCGACCGGTGGTCCCGAGACTTCCTGTGGAGCTGTTGGTACTCGCCTTGTCTGCGTCCGGCGGGGGAGTAGGAGGGAAGAGATTACGGTTCAGGGGCGGTTCAGAGTGCTGACGGCTCCGGCTGGGCAGGTTCTTGTGCACCAAGTGCGAGGTGGCGAACGGAAGGTGCTCGGGATGCCGGTGGTCGAGCACCGACTGAGCGCGGGGGATTTCCAGATTCAGCGGGCCGGACGGAACGCCGTTACGCTCCCCTGTCGCGGCAATCAGCCGGGCCTTACCCAGGTAGTCTTTCGACTTCAGATTCTTGACCTTAGCCTCGTTGGGCCGGTAGACCACCCCTACCGGAATGGAGAAGACTGTATAGCCCTGTTTGCCATTAGGATTGAAATCTCCTGCCGCTCCTATATGAAACGTACCTGTGCTCGTTCCTTGATTGCATCATTGATGACATCGTGGTCCGGCGTCACCTTCTCTTTGGACGCATAGTCGAGATCCTGGAGGCCGGGGCCCATCTGCTGCAGGTAGATATAGCACAGACCGCGGTTGAACAGCACTTCGCACGAGTACAAGCGGAACTTAAGACCCAGCTGCTCGTAGTCAATGGAGGTGTTACCTCGAAGGTACAACAGGGTGTCATTAAAATTGGCCAATGCCTCCTCAAAGTCACCCAGCAGGAAGTTGGACACTCCTTCTTGGAAGTATGCGATGGCCAGGTATTGATCTAACCCAATTGCTCGTTGGTAGCACTCGACCTAGATTGCCGTCAGTATGAGGGAATGCCGTGAACGAAGAGTAGGTCTTACTGCTCTGTCGTGCTCTCCCAAGGTGGCATATATGACTCCACAGTTGAAAAGGATCTTGGATGTTTCGGCGATGGCGCTGAAGACCTGAAGGGCCTCATCGTATTCTTGGTTGTCGTAGTGGTCCAGGGCTTGCACCCAGGTCTCAATCTCCTGAGTAATGTGAGCCCTGCTCAGCCTGCCCTTACGGTGGGGGAAGGAAGCAACCCTACCTGCTTGATGGACATGTCTGACTTGAGCCCGTAGCACCAACGATAGGCGATATCAGGTGCCGCAGTCGCCCTGGTACTGACCTAAAACAAGACGCAGACGGAGCTGACCGGTCGAGAACCCCACGTCGTAGTATATATGTCCCCGACTTGTGATTGATCGGACCAGCACGCTGACGACAGAGTCCTCGACCACGCCGAGAACAGGGATGGAATCGCACGGTGGACCCGGGATGGAGGAGACTGAGCGCAGACGGCGAGCGAGCAATAGACCATGCGCAATGGGCCTCTTAGCGGGAGAGATAGATAACTCAAGAGATAGATAGATCGGATATATAATTAGATCACGGATGCCGCGACCCAGCCGCTAGCGATGACCGTCTAAAGACCAGCCAAGACGAAGGCAAGGAAGACCAGACTGGCTGGGACGGGATACGTAGGGGATGAGAAGGTTGGGAGAGTAAGGTTTGTTTCGAAGGTGATTTAATTTGATTTGCTTTGGATTCCCGCGTGGTTAGAGCTTGGACAGGCCGACAAACACGTTGAGTACTGGGTGGTGAGTACACCACTTTGGGTTGGGAGATGATGATGTTGATGATGGTGATAATGGTGATGATGATGGCCGACGAAGAACGGACAAAACCAGAAATGGAAGTGGTTAGCAGGTACGGAGTACCGATGCAGAAAGGAGAAAATAGACCGAAGGAAAGAAGATCAAGGCAAGATTGGGATTAGCGTGCAGAGAGAATAGTAAATGAAGGAGAGGAAGGGGAAACGATGCAATGCAGCAAATGCAGCAAGCAAGCAGCAGCAGCAGCCTGTCAGCCAGGAACTACTCAGGATGGTGGGTGCAGTGCAGTGCAATGCAGTTTTGGGATGGAAGGGGAGAAGGAAAAGATGGACAGGGAAGAAAGAAAGAGGGGAAAAAGAATAAAAATAGTTGGGTAAAGAATTAAAAAAAGGTCTGATCCTGGTCACATCCCAGCAGCATCTTTTTCTTCCAGCCAGCAGAGCCAGCAGAGCCAGGGATTGGATGCTGCAGGGGGTGACGCTTTTCATCACATCGCAGAAAAGTCGATTCATCCGAGCCCGGTTGATTGGATTCGTTCGTGCCTTCATATCAGGAGATTTCCAAGGAGATTACGGAGTAACTACTTACTACCTAGTTAGTTACTTCTAGTTAACTGCCAGTGCCCCCCGTTCCCGGTGGGAAAAGCCATGCGGGGCTGCAGAATTGTCACCAATACAACGAATGGGTTTACCCCATACCATTATTACCACCACACCATCACATAGACACTCAAACATTCAGTTCAGACAGAGTCACAGACAGAGAGGCAGACAAACATTGGATTCTTCTTCTTCACTGTGAAGCTCTTGACCTTGGCTCTCACAACAGAACCCCAACCTGGAGATGATGGAGGATTATACTTTCAGTGCATTGGGAAATTTCCCCGCCACGGCGCTTGCGCCTGAGCGAATTGACCATTCCATTCCTGCCTCCAACTTGTTAGATCGACCCACTCTGTGGAATACGGGCCTCATTGCGCACCCTATCGCCCTATCGCCCTCTCTGGCTCTCTCACTCCCTGTCGGACCGTTGTACTATGAACACTAGGAGTAGCTCTCGATCTATCTTTAGTGTTCTTAGTGTTCTTGCCATGCCCTGCTCACGACTAGTCGGTGTGTCGTGCAGTTGCTCCTGCATGGCTGCCAGTCACCTGAGTCCGGGGTTGTCGGTGTCTTCTTCTTTTGCTGCTGCTTCTGCTTCCTGCCTCCCAGCAGTACGGAGTACTCGAGTCATCATTATTCATTCATGTGGCTGATAGTAGTAGTAATACTTGTCAATCCAATTGCCCATGCACAAGCAATTCCACGGTGACCCCACCCCCTCCTTCTCTGTGCTATACATAGAACGGCTTATGCCCTCTGATGTAGTCAAATCACACCAGATTTCCTGCCAAACCCGCCATTATCAGATCCCTCTATACCATTCCCTGGGAGACCTGCTCCTGCCGCTCCTGCCAAACGTTCTTACCGGAGCAGGAACAGACCATCTTGTCGTTATCCCACACCCCCGCGCTACGAGCGATGACCCCAACCAATGTGTTCGAGTCCTCCCGATCAAAGGGGCCCTCGGCATTCTTTGACACCACCATACTGCGGCCAATCATCTCCCAGATCGCGACCGGTCGATCCAAAAAGACATTGCCTCGTCCCTTTTCGTCAACCTCCACTGACCCAAAGACCCCACGTGGTTCCTTGGTGGGCTCCGTCGAGCCCAATACCTTGGCCTTGACGGCCTCCCAAATGCCTCCCGTCGACGCCGCTCCTTGCGAGATATCGCCCGCCTCGCGCACGGTCGCCACGTACTTGCCCGGGGCGAGGCCATTGATCGTCAGATCCACCAGGGTCATATTGGACGACACCTGAACCATGCGTGCCAGACCGCGGATCTTGTTCGAGACGGCAGTGGAATGTGTTTCGAGGATGCACACCGCGGAACCTGGAGACAAAAACAAAAGAAGATCACACCACCGAAGTTAGCATAATCCCATCCAACCCGACTTGGCACATCACATAAAAAGGGGGGGAGGGGACAGAGCACGTACTGTTGGAGGTGCCACTCCCTCGCAAGATCGCATCACGACCCGTAGCTTGGATGGCAGTGACAATGGAGCTGGGCGGCGCGGTGCCTTCAATGAAGACCAGTTGATCCTTCAGGCTGGCCTCAACCTTGCTGATCCCTAACACGGGTTCTGGTTAGAGCTGCGTGGGTAACGGGGAGGGGAAACTGGCTGTCATACCGTCCAACTTCTTGAGCGACGCGGAGACATCTTTGACGCAACCCTCGCAGGTCATCGGGACCGCGAAGGTGGTCTGGATTGATTAGAACCGCGTGACGCATGGCGTAGAAAGCAGCAGCACCCACCTGGAAAGGTTCAATAGTCATCTCGTCTAGTAGCGCCCTTAGATCTCCAGTCAGTAGTAATGTAGCAGCAAACAAAATCACAAAATCACAAAATCATCAGGTACTGTACGGCGTTAGTAGGAACCCCCTCCCTCCGTCCTCTTCTTGAATGCGGGCCGAGGCGGGGAGCGGCTTTGAAATCAACCTCCCGATCAGGTTTAGTTCCTTTCCAGACCCGCTCCGTCAACCCATAGCGTCATCCGGCCAATCATCCGGGTGCCCTGTCGTTCATCTTCTTGCGATAGTAGCTCCGACAGCTTCACCTCTGTCCTTCAAACCACTAGACAACAACAACGTCACAATTGCCTATGTCGTTCAACCAATAGCCTGCACATCTAGACCATGTCCTCGAAATCGCGCTGGGCCAACGACGATGACCCAGAGACGGAGGCCATCCTCGCCCAACGCAAACGCGAAAAGGAAGAGAAACGACGCGCCAAAGCCGAGAAACAACGTCAGCTAGAAGAACAGCAGCAACAACAACAACAACAACAGGCCAAACTTCAGGCTCAATCGCAAGATCCCAATTCCACGCAGACCGACGCGCCTCCACCCTCCAAGCGTCGCCGCCTCTCCAACGACCACGACCCAGCCCGACAATCCCCGCAACCATCCAAATCCAACTCCTCCGACCCTCAGACCACCGCCGAAGGGAACAACCTCCTCACACTCCCAACCTCCGAATGGGGCCCCTGTCGCCATGTCGACAACTTCGAGCGCCTCAACCACATCGAAGAAGGCAGTTACGGCTTCGTCAGCCGCGCCAAGGACATCACGACCGGCGAGATCGTGGCGCTCAAGAAACTCAAGCTGGAGCCCACCTCCGCGGAGGGATTCCCGGTGACGGGGCTCCGAGAGATCCAGACCCTATTCGAAGCCCGACATCAGAACATCATCGAACTACGGGAAGTAGTGATGGGGACCAAGATGGATGAGTACGTTTTCACTTTTTGTGTCAAAAACACACACTACGCCGCACGCCATGAAGACACCCCTCTCCCTCCCTCAAAATCATTCCCCAAACCACTCCATGTACTAACACGATTCCCCCCAAACCAGAGTCTACCTAGTCATGCCCTTCGTCGAACACGACCTCAAGACCCTCCTCGACGACATGCGCGAGCCCTTCCTCCCGTCCGAAACCAAAACCCTGCTCCTCCAGATCATCTCGGGGCTCGACTTCCTCCACGCGCAGTGGATCATGCACCGCGACCTCAAGACCTCGAACCTGCTGATGAACAACCGCGGCGAGATCAAGATCGCCGACTTCGGCATGGCGCGCTCCTACGGCGACCCGCCGCCGCCCAAGCTGACCCAGCTGGTCGTCACCCTCTGGTACCGCGCCCCGGAGCTGCTGCTGGGCGCCGACCGGTACGGCCCGGAGATCGACCTGTGGAGCATCGGGTGTATCTTCGGGGAGCTGCTGGGCAAGGAGCCCCTGCTGCAGGGCAAGAATGAGGTCGATCAGGTGTCCGAGGTATGAATCATTGCTTGTCCACCTTCAATCACTCCTTCAAAAAAAAAAGCGAGAAGTTGACGACGGTCCAAATAGATCTTCGCCTTAACCGGGCCCCCAACCACCCAAATGTGGCCTGAATTCCGATCCCTTCCTAATGCCAAATCTCTTCGACTCCCGTCGTCGTCCTCATCCTCAGCTGCCCCGGGCGGTAGTGGTGCCGCTAATCCGCCGCTCTTACCGCGCGGCAAGTTCCCCTACCTGACCAACGAAGGCCTACGGCTGCTTTCGTCGCTCCTGGCGCTGAACCCCAATGCCCGCCCGTCGGCCAAGCAGTGTCTGGCCCATCCGTACTTCCGGGAAGACCCCCGGCCCAAACCCAAGGAGATGTTCCCTACCTTCCCATCCAAGGCGGGCCAGGAGAAACGGAGACGACGGGAGACCCCCGAGGCGCCGAAGCGCGGCCAAGAAGCCCCAAAGTTGGATTTCGCGAGCGTGTTTGGGGGTGCGCAGGCGGGTGGTGATGGTCCGGAGGCCGGGGCTGGGTTTACCTTGCGCCTGGGGTAGTGCTCCCTTGGCTGTGAAGCGTGTACTTTTACGATTGGACTATATATAGAGCTACGCATCGTGGGTGTGACAGACTTGGTAGTCCGTTTACGATTTTCAACACCATCATCTGGAAGGCTTCCAGGTCGCGACCTGGAGACATAATCGTTGGTTCTAAGGCATAAGAGCTGTGGAACAAGTTTAAGGGAGCGAAGAGGAAGGCTGTATTGAGAAACCCGCTCCCTGGTTCATGAGCCTCAACCTTTGGAGAGTCAATTGAGCGGTGTATGTAAAAATATGGTAGAGTCGCCTGGTCCACCAATAAAGAAGTGGCAATGCGAATTAAGAATTAAGATCTTCTGGATGAAAAATAGTACCTCGCAGGATAGCTGGAGACATAATCGTCAGTGGAGTCACTGGCTTCGCGCTCGGCGCGGGCAGATCGCGGACTTTGTAAATGTATGGCTGATCTCGGGCCCACGATCTCGGGGATCCCTTGAGCCCTGGTCGACGAATGGCGATCAAGCCCAGGCCCACTATATAAGCAGCCATCGCCAGTGAAGCTCCTCTCGGACTTGAGTGCATTATTATCACGGTCGGGGCGGATGTCGGGTGACTTGTCGACAAGGAAGTACTCGTCTCTGAGGGCGAGAAGGGACGCCAAATCGTCGGTATCAATGGTGGACCATGGCTCCTCTAACACCTGCTCCATTTCTGACATGAACCGTTGCTCTTCATTCTGGGTAAACCCCCCAATGATCTCTTCCATCGGCGGACCGACTCCTGTTTGCGTTTGCTCATCCATACCAGTAATGGAAGCAGAAGCGGCCTCGTGACCTACATGTGCCGGCCCGTCAGGATCTGCTGAGCAGGTAAATGCCACATCTATCTGCGGCTTCGCATTCATCGTGTCCTCAAGGAACTCCGAAATTGGTGTGTTGACTTCAGGCTCGCAAGGCTCAGTGGCCCTTGTTGGTGTCTCCTCAGATTGGTTGAATCCATGGAACGGCGATTCGCTCTGCTGATCCACCTCGGGAGCATGGCTGTCTCTAATCCCCAATCGGTCGCACAATTTCAAGGACTCCATGGCGAAGTCGGCGTCTATTATCTGGGGCGTTTCAGACACACGATTAGTCTTGCACACGCGAGTCATGGCTGGCTTGTAACTGTTAATCGCATTGATCGACATCCGCAGTGCGTTCGATTTGCGCGAGTTGGTGGGGGCTGAGCTTGAGGCAGTGTGAACATTGGGACTCGGGCGCGTAAAAGACTGCAACTGTGTATCCAAATCAATGGGATCATTCGATGAAGGTCCCGGTGTAGTAAGATAGTGACTGCTGCGTTCCAATTCGCTGTCCCTCGGGCTGGGTTCGTCTGAATCGTTGGGCCTGACTGACACGGTAGTGGTGGTGGTGGTGCGAGGCTCTTGGCCCGTCGCAGCCTCATCGGGCTCATTCAAAGCTTCTAATGCCTCATGGTTACCCTGGAACGCTGTGGTTTGCAACCTCGCGGTATGTCCATGTTGTGATTCCGTCGAATTGACCTCGGATCTAGGGACAGCGAGAACTGCCTCGGAGCGACAGTGACGCACAGTCGAACCATTTAGAAAAGTACTATCTGCTTCACATTCGACATGAATTGGTAGTTTCTGCAAATATTTGCCGATGTCGCCATTTGGTTCCGAAGGATATTTGCAGCTGATGCGTTGGAGGTCGGCTCCGAAATCAACATCTTCAGCAGTGCTAGCCTCGGACACCGTGGAGGAGTAGAGCGTTCCCTGCTGATCCAGCGAGTCTTTTGCCGAGTCCGCCGAGGACCAGGCGCTGGGGTTGTCGGTGCGAACAGGTGGAGGTCCACTGGATCGCCGACGTATCCCCGACCTCAGCGCAAGTAGTCCTAGATGGGCTCTTCGAAGAGATCTTCTGGGCAGATCCTGTATCCAACGACTTGTTCTTGGCGAAGCTGTCTGCTGGGAGAGATCGCAATCATCCTCCAGCCATGGCGAGGCGATAACATCAGGGTTGTGTCGCGGATCCCGCGGATTGAAGACTGGGTAGTGAATACTTTCCTCACATGCTGGCGAGGGGGCGGTAAGCCGTCGTATGGCAGCCCTAAACAATTAGCACGCCTCCTGATATTGACGAGGCAGAGGCATACCTGTTCCTGCGGCTGACGGGGTAGCAGAGGGTAAAAGAGAACGATGACGCCGGGCGACGTCTGTTGTTTCCAAATGCCGAGTCTGGTGCGTCCATTGTTCCCTCAATTGATGTCCTTTCAAGAAGAAACCTCCAAGAGAAGTTGGAATATTTAGAGCCAGCCGTGTCTTACCAAGCAGTGCCAGAAAGTCCGACGCTTGTCGTCGATTGTAAAGACGAGGTCCGGGGTTTTCCTGAATGGGATCTACTCAAAGGGCGACGCAGATTGAGGCGACGACCAGACAGGCCGAAGGAAGCCATAACAAACCCGCCACGCTGTCCGACAGGCGCATTTGCAATGTCGGACAGAGGCAGGTGTTGGGGTGGGAAGTGCCTTCCTTCCTGGCCATGACAAATGAATTGAATGTTGCACAGACGAAAGCCGAACAGAACAGCCAGTGTTGCAGCTACCCGATCATCTCGAAGAGTTGGGTTCCTTACTTGGATTTGAATCGATCGCAAGGATGAGACTGTGATAAGACATCCTGAGCCCGAAGCTCTTGACAAAAATCCCATAAGAGTCCATCGGGGGTAGGGGTATGGAGTAAAGTGTCAAATACTCGAAGTGTATGTAAATAGAAATAGAAATAGAAATAGAAATGCCGGGAAGCGGAACCCGCGCCGGAGCTCCAACTTCCAATCCGAGGATTCAATGCTTTCCTCCGCGCTTTGATTCAGCTCGACCGACCTGCGACTCTCCCTCAACATTTTTATCGACTCCCTCCGCCAACTTGTTCTCTCCACTAGGGCCTGCATACCCGGTATATTTTTATTCACTTGTCTCGAGTCAAATTACTCGTACTTTTTCCTGGTCGGTCGGACCTTCAATCGGTCTACTACCTTCCATCATGGCTGCCGGAAAGGCTGCCGCCGACTTCAATGCGATCATCCAAGCTGGTAAGCTTTTTCATCGTTCAGTGCAATCAATTCACCAGCCTAGACACTTGAGCTAAAGTCTGCCTCAAGATCGCAAAAGAAAGCAGAACGAAAACCTTGCAAACCAGCTACTCGGTAAGAACCGACAAACAAATGGGGGCGCCGCAAAGGGCGCAAAGAAGACACAGGATGCGAAGCCAGGAAGCCTCGCCAGTCGCATCGGTGTAGCCAAGGTAAATATCAACCGAACGGTATCGCGCCGGCTTCTTTGGTTGAATCAAAATACTCATCATTCATCGATCCATTCCAGCGCCCGACGTCTTCGCCCGCGAATCCTAGAACAAACCCCAAGCCTGTCATTCATCAGGCCCGCCCCAAGGCGCGTCAGACCGATCGACCTGGCGCAAAGCAGCGCCGGCCCGACGAGCAACGCCTGCTTTCTGCACTCCTTCCAGACAGCGGACAAGCAACCGTACGAGGCAGTAAGGTGGGGATGACCATCAAGGGCGCTGGCTCAGGACCCTCCGTGGTAGTCGGGAGCAACTTTGCACCGGGGACCACCGCAGCCGACATTCAAGCGGCTCTTGAGCCCGTGGCCGGCCCAGTCCTCAGCTGCTGGGTGATAACGCAGCACCCCGCAGTGTCGGCAGAGATCACCTTTGCCGAGAGACAGGGCGCGGACAGCGCGATTGCCAACTTTCACAACCAGAGGGTCAGTTATACTCGCGTTCCTTCTCAGCCTGACACTAATAAATGGCTAGGCTGATGGCCGGATCATCTCGATGCGCCTGAAACCCCTTAGCCTGGGGGCCGATAACGGTGCCACCAACTATCAGAACCCACAGAGCCCCTTCAACAACCTCCGGGAGCAAGCGGATCGAGATCGCCGCTCGCACCGCCCCGGTGAGACGACGATTCAAGACGGAAACTACGGGTTCACCGAGCAGAACCAAGCGGTCGAACCACACAGACCGCGGGGCAACAACCGCAGATGGAATAATAGGGGCTATCGTAACGGGCCCCGAAACGGCGGAGCCTCGAACCAGGACACGCAAGAGACAGGTCTCTACAGTGACCAGATGATGGTGGACGCGCCACAGCAGAACCAACAACCCCAGGGCAGGCGCTATCACCGCTGAGCCGTCACTGGCGGTAGCGAAATCTATCTACGTCACCGATATGCCGGGGAAAAATGTATACATCGGGGAAATTGAGCAGAATCTACGGGTAGAACAGAAACATGTAAACTAAATCTCATTTAATCCAAATCAAGCTTATGCCCATTTCCGGAAAGCGTTGATAATCGCCCGATAAGGCCAGGACACAATCACGTGCAGCGGAAGTTTTGCGGAGAAGTTGGAGAAAGCGTCATGTCTGTCTGAACAGCATTGCTTTAATGATTGCTCATCTCCCAACTCAACGCTAATGGAAACCTGCCTGGGGTCCTACGATCGAAACAATTGACCCTTCCTCCCGCAACGGAGCTCACTCCTCGCGTCTACCCATAGTGTAGGACGGTGCGCGCAAGATGCAGCAAGCAACCGGGCGTGCTCTGACGCATCTCCGAGCGCTCAGAAAACGCGCAACGCAGACGCAGACTCTCGTCCTGTCCACACGAAGATGTCAATCCTCATTCGACAACAAACGCCAATGGTCGACCCCTCTTGCCCAGACCCTGGCTAACGCCATGAAGGTAGATAGCATTTTCTGTTCCAAGACAAAGCCCATCTTCCCTTTCCCCAGCGCCCCCCCCCCAATATGTTCGTGCCCAATTCGCACCCTGAAACACGCACTGTCGATAGGTCTAACGCACCCGTTCCAAAACTATAGGTCACGGGCCCCATCCCCATCGCGGCGTTCATGCGCCAAGTCCTTACCTCCCCGGAAGGAGGATACTACACTACCCGGCCCGCGGGTGAGGGCGAGGTCTTCGGAAAGAAAGGCGACTTCGTGACCTCGCCGGAAATCTCGCAGGTGTTCGGTGAGCTGGTCGGGATCTGGACGATTACCGAGTGGATCGCGCAGGGACGGACAAGAAGTGGGGTGCAGCTCATGGAGGTCGGGCCGGGGAAGGGGACGTTGATGGATGATATGCTGAGGGTGAGTTTTTCCCCCTGATAGAGGGACTAGATCGCTAAAGATAGGTGACTGTTTGCGTCCCATACAGACATTCCGCAATTTCAGAAGCTTTGCGTCGAGCATCGAGGCGATATATCTGGTCGAGGCGAGTTCGACGTTGAGAGAGGTCCAGAAGCGGCTGCTCTGCGGCGAGGACGCGGCGATGGAGGAAACGGATATTGGCCACCGGAGTGTGTGCAAGTATTTTGACGTGCCGGTTATCTGGGTGGAGGATATTCGGTTGCTGCCGCATGGTGAGGATGCACTAGTCCCCTCCCTCCCTACTGTTTAGGTACGTGTGCCGTACTGATTCGATATCCCATCTTCGGGTTTTGTGTGTGCAGAGGAGGATAAAACGCCCTTCATATTCGCACACGAGTTCTTCGACGCTTTACCCATCCATGCCTTTGAGTCCGTGCCCCCGGCACCGGAGAACGAGCCGAAGGACGAGGTCATGACGCCCACGGGACCTGCGAAGCTCCGGAAACCATTGAAGGCCGCGAATGTGCCGCAATGGCGAGAGCTGCTGGTGACGCTCAACCCTAAGGCTGTGGAGGAGAACATCGAGGGAGAACCGGAGTTCAAGCTGACGCTGGCCAAGGCGTCCACGCCATCGTCCTTGGTCATTCCTGAAATTTCGGAACGGTATCGCGCTCTGAAGTCTCAGCCGGGCTCCACGATTGAGGTCAGTCCGGAGAGTCGGATCTATGCGTCTGACTTTGCAAGGCGGATCGGCGGGGCGTCAGAACCGCCTCGTACGGCCACGAAGAAGGGTGCTACTACTGCTACTGGTGGGGAAACGCCGGCTGCGGCGAAGCGTGTGCCTTCCGGTGCAGCGCTGATCATGGACTATGGGACTCTCGCTACGGTGCCCATCAACTCGCTTCGTGGAATCCAGCACCATCAAACTGTGCCGGCACTTTCGGCGCCGGGACAGGTGGATGTTAGTGCCGACGTGGACTTTACTGCGTTGGCTGAGGCGGCCATCGAGGCCAGCGAAGGCGTTGAGGTTCATGGACCGGTGGAGCAGGGTGATTTCCTGCATGCCATGGGGATCGCGGAGCGGATGCAGCAGCTGCTCAAGGGCGTGACGGATGAGTCAAAGCGGAAGACGTTAGAGACTGGCTGGAAGAGACTGGTTGAGAAAGGCGGCGGTGGGATGGGCAAGATCTACAAGGTCATGGCCATCGTTCCGGAAAATAATGGTAAGCGTCGTCCAGTTGGGTTCGGGGGAAATATCATGGCATGAGCCATTGTATACTAGAAGATAAAAAAAAAGTGTATATTAGTTTCACCGTACACTGCACCACGGTTAAATAACCTCAACGATTTTCGGTCTTGTAGAATATTCTCGTTCTAAACCGAGTGTCTCCGTATATCGCTCTGATCTCTATAATAACTCATGACCACTAGTTCCCACTATATAATCTCTAAAACAACGAAGCCACAAGGGTATAAACAAAAAATCACCACGTCATCCCCAGCAAAAGAAAAGAAACAGACCCTTTAGTACTCCCGCCAAATATCTTCCACATATGCTTGGGTCAACCGGGTGTCCTTCCCGTACTTCTCCTGCCACTGCACGAAGCCTCCTTCCAGGACAAAAACCTTCTGTTTGTGGCTTTCCTCGGCGCCGAGCACACGCTCTCTCTCCCGGGCATAACGCAGCGCCGCAGAGGGACCGCGCTGCTGACTGAGCGCACAGTGGAACACCACCTGCTCCTTGTCTTTCAGCGTGCGGACGAGTTCGGGCATGCGCACGTCCAGCGTGGAGCTAGGGACCCAGGTGGAAGAGAATATATGGCCGCCGACGTGGTCTAAATTCATTCGGGTAAGTTCCTATACGGTCTAAGTATTCGTATAAGGGAGGAACGTACCAGAGTCACGGACATCTACGATGGCCAGATTGCTGGGGGAAGTGGCCGAGAGGAGGAGGGCCGAGAGAGCATCGCGGCTCATGCGGGGAAGAGTTGCGATTGTGATGGAGGACATTTTGATATCTTGCGCGGTAGAATCTTGAGGTGGGCTTCGTTGGATGCTAAACAAATCAAACCAGGAACCTGAGTCATATACCGACTGTTGCTCCCAGATCCAATATAAATGAGGGGTAACGAGTGATGTAGTCTGTCGAGTCCGTTGGGATCTCAAGTCAATTGTTCGAAGTATGCCGCAGCTCACGTGACACGAAGATTTCCGAGCGGGAAATTCCAGCGGATAGCCATTGAGACTCCCTTCTCCGCGATCTTGCCTCCGATAACCACTCCCTCTTGTCTCAATTGGAGCGTGAGTCCTTGCGCTCATCTCAGCGGAAACACCTTCGATATCGGTTTCTGTGGTGTCCATCGCACTACGACCATCAGAGCTCTAGCCATGGAGATGCGTACCCTGTCGCAGTGTCTTCGCTCGGCTGCCCGGCCGACGACGACGACGACATCCCTTCTGTACACGAAGCAATTCGCCAGACAGTCCCTCCCAGCGATCCGTTACAACTCCTCTTCCTCGTCGTCGTCGTCGTCATCCTCACCCTCCTCGTCCTCCTCATCTTCGCCCGCGTCACCCTCCACGCCGTCGACCACATCCACATCCGCATCCGCCTCCCCCCCGGCCTCACAATCCGGCCTCCCCCCGAACCGCAAACCGCACGGAGCCTTCGGCAGCGGCGGCGGCGTCCCTTCATCGCCCAAGCCCACCACCTACAACTCCAGCGCCGACATGGCCTTCGACGAGATCTTCAGCAAGCTCCGACTGGGCGGCCGCCACGCGCCGTCGAACGATCCCTCCGCCGCGGGCGCCGGCCCGCTCGCCGGGCTCGCGGCGCAGGAGAACCTGCGCCTGGCTCCGAAGGTCAACCTGAAGCTGGGGCCCGCCCTCGGCCGGGAAATCTCCATTGAGCCCGACCGCGGCAACGATCTGTCGTCCGCGTTGCGGATGCTGGCCGCCCGCCTGGGCCAATCCCGGTTGAAGAAAATGGTCAAGGATCAGAAGTTCCACGTCCGGAAGGGACAGCTGCGCAAGGAGAAGCGGAGTGCTCGGTGGAGGAAGCTGTTCAAGTTCTCCTTCCAGGACACCCTGCGGCGCGTTGAGAAGATGAGAGCTCAGGGTTGGTAAGAGATTCTCTAGATTCCTGCGGGGTTCTGTTCTGCGGGGATTGGAGAGGCGGATGGACGGGGTGGTTTTTTTTTTAACTCTGGGGGTGTATATAACGAGATGCGGGCATGGGTTTTTTATCAGGGAGGAAAGAGGAGGTCTTGTTTTTGGGAGATAGGGATGTATTGAAGCAACGAGCACAATAGAGATTTGTTGCGGGAGGGGAAAAAGGGTGTTCACCTTGCTCTGTATACTAAATTCGGAGATTGTTTCATATTGCTATGGTTGTGTTTTTCACTTGCTATATCTCATTTGTTTTCTTGAATCCAATTGTGTCCAACAATAGAGTTATCACAAAAATGGTCTATCCATCTATCTATCCATCTAGCGGTATCTGTGGTCTATTTCCATTCCATGCCGTGCAATACAGCTATTCTGCACAAAACCATATACAGTACAGACATTTTCCAACTGCGGACAAAAAAATAAAGATCCAAGTCAGTTCAGTCCCTCTTCCCACTACCTGTATACCCTCCATAGCCAAACCCAGCCCCGGCGGCCCCATTGCCAGCCCCAGCCGAAGAGTAACCACCATAACCATTCATCTTGCCGCCGTTCCCATACGTGATTCCCACAGCCCCATTACCCACCTTTCCTCTGGAAGAAGAACTCACCCCGAGGATCCCTTCCCCCCTCCGCCGCCTGACCCCAAAAGAGCCACCGTTCCTCTCCCAATACAAAGCCACAACCGCACCGACCCCAGCAGCCATCACAAAGAACACCAGTCTGGAGAAGAAACCCGCGCCGTCGCCCCCGTTTCCTCCTCCCACCAGGGTACCAGACGTCCCCAGCCCCTGGGAAGGCCACCCAATGCCCCTCCCGCCTTCGACCCAGCTAACATGAAACGAGAACGTCAACGGCTCCCCGCGGATGACTTTCGTCCCATGGCCCGCGGTCCAGGGATCCTTGGCCGCCTCCACCACGGCCGCGGACGCCGCCTGTTCCTCATCGCTGGTATGTGTCTTCTGCATCTGTCGCTGAATAATAACATCGAACTCCGGGACCGAGTAGGCTGTGCCCGCGACGACGTAGCCCGCCGCCTTACCCTTCTTTGTCTTTTGTTTTGAATTCTTTGAATCTGCCGCGATATTGTGCGCTAGGAGGTTCATATCCGTCCAGATGTGCAGATGGCTCCGCTGGAGCGTGCCCTGGAGCGCGAAGGTGATGGGCGTGTAGGACGGGCCGTCGGTGTCGATCTCGAGCTCGTGGCTCCCCGCGGCTTGGTCGTCGGCCTCGGTGTCGGGCGTGTTGAGGAGATGCTGGGCCAAGGGGGCGGTGGGCACGCGACAGGTCATGGGCACGTCCGAGTGGACGTAGTATTCGAGGAGGTGGTAGAGCTCATCCGGGAGCGAGGCGATGGTGCAGTTGACGGTCTCGGAGACGCCGTAGTGGAGGGCGAGCGGGAGGGAGGTCTCGTTGCATGTTGGGAAGGGGATGTATTGTAGGTGTCCTTGATTGTCGGTTATCTGGAGGGTTGACAATTGAAAGTATCAGTAAACTTTTCCGCTTTTCAAGGTAATGGTGGCGATGTGATGAGGAAGAGGGGGAGTGGGTGGTGGTGTTGGTGGTGATTTACATGCTCGCCCGAGTCACTTCCAGAACCATGTGATTAGTATATTTGCTTTTCTCTTTCGAGCAAGGTTGCTAGTGAAAGAACTCACATGGTCCGATTGAGACAGGTCACTGGTATGGCTTGTCCATAACTGTACCCGGTTCTACCGCTGGACGGGGAATCGCTGGCCCCCGCCGCGGAGGTCTGAAGAAAGACGGAGAATAGAAGGCCATACTGCCAGAGAGTGTGGGCAGTTCTGCGCCTGGAGGAGGATGGCATTGTTGCTAAAAAAAAATGTTATACTTGCGCACGCCGACAAGGCGTCTGGGCTCGCTGCTAGCGATAAGGAGCGAGGACGGAGAAAGAACAGCGAGACAAACACAGTGTTGGTTGTGGTCCACGGTGATGGGGGCCGCCGCCGCAAGGGAACTAAAACTTGGTTAATTCGCCGTCATCTACCACATCTCACTCATACAGTCACTGCATCTGCTGTTCTTTCGAAATTCTGTGGTATGCCTCTCCCATCCGTACTAGCGCGATTGCTGAATCAATAACACCAATCTAGAGCAGTGCACTTCTGCACTTCTGTTTGTAGACATATACGAGAGAGATCCCTACGTTGTGCACTCTACGGTCACTAGTAGCCTCGCACCTACTATACTCATTTGAATAAAAAGGTATTAAATTATAAAGTCACTCATGGCTTCATGAACATGTACAACTTGTCTTGTACAACTTGTTTTTGTCCTCCAAGCATATGTATCCCACAGCATCCGATTCATTCCCTTATGCCAGGTTGGCCTTCTTCTTGAAAGCAAGGAGCAGTCCGCTGGTCGAGGCATCGTGGCCAGCACCGGCGCCGTCAGTCTCCAGCTCCTGCTGAATCTTCTTGGCCAGAACCTTGCCCAACTCGACACCCCACTGGTCGAACGAGTTGATGTTCCAGATGGCACCTTCGGTGAAGGTAACGTGCTCGTAGTAGGTGATCAACGCGCCGAGAGTGGAGGGAGTGATCTTCTGGGCCAAGATCGAGGTGGTGGGGCGGTTGCCCAAGAAGGTCTTGTGAGGCACCAGGTTCTCCGGAGCACCCTCAGTCTTGACTTCCTCAGGGGTCTTACCGACCATGAGAGCCTCGGACTGCGCGAGGAAGTTGGACGCAAGCATGCGCTGGTGCTTACCACCCTCGACGGGGTTGTGCGACTCGGCAGCCATGATGAAGTCCGAGGGAATGAGCTTGGTGCCCTGGTGCAGCAGCTGGAAGAAGCTGTGCTGTGCGTTGGTGGCCGGCTCACCGAACAGGATAGGGCCAGTGGTGTACTTGACGTACTCGCCCGTGCGGGTGATCGCCTTACCGTTGCTCTCCATAGAAAGCTGCTGCAAGTAGGCCGGGAAGCGGTGTAGGTACTGGTCGAAGGGAGCAACCAGGTGGGTCTGGGCACCGAAGAAATCACTGTACCACACGCTCAACAGACCACCGATAGCGGGGATGTTTTGCTCCAGGGGAGTCTCGCGGAAGTGCTTGTCCATGGCATGGGCACCAGCCAAGAACTGGTGGAAGTTGTCGAAACCGATGTAAATGGCAACGGACAGACCGATGGCACTCCAGACGGAGTAACGGCCACCAACCCACGATTCGAAACCAAACATGTTCTTCTTGTCAATACCGAACTTGGTGACTTCAGCCTCGTTGGTGGAGAGAGCAACGAAGTGCTTGGCAATGTGAGAATCCTCCTTAGCGGTCTCGAGGAACCACTTCTTCGCGGTGTTGGCGTTGGTGGTGGTCTCGGCCGTGGTGAAAGTCTTGGAGGCAATCAGGAACAGGGTGGTCTCGGGGTCGGACTCCTTGAGGGCCTCAGCAATGTGAGTTCCGTCAATGTTGGAGACGAAGTGCAGCTTCAGGTCGGCAGCACCATAGGGCTTCAGGGCCTCGGTCACCATGACGGGACCACTGGATTCCGCAGTTAGTATTGTGTCTGACGCGCTCATCGAGAAACCAGATCCCACTTACAGATCCGAACCACCGATACCAATGTTGATGATGGTGTTGATCTTCTTGCCAGTGTAACCCTTCCACTCACCGCTACGGACCTGCTCGGAAAACTCCTTCATGTGCTCAAGGACAGCATTGGTGTCCTCAACAACGCTCTTGCCATCCACCTGCATGGGTTCATTGGAGACATTACGCAGGGCGGCGTGGTAGACAGCACGGTCCTCAGTGAAGTTGATGTGATCACCCTTGAACATGGCATCACGGAGCTCCTCAATGTTGGCTTCCTTGGCCAGCTTGACCAGGAGAGCCAGGGTCTCTTCAGTAAGGAAGTTCTTGGAGAAATCGAAGAGGATCTCAGTGTTGTCAACGGTGTTGTTGAAGGTACGGCTGAACTTCTCGAAGCGCTGGGGATCCTTCTGGAAGCAT